TTGTTGTTTAAGTTGTTGTTGTTGTTGTTGTTGTTGTTGTTGCATGGGATCACTGCCCCAGCAGCGCAGGGTAAGAGCAAGCTTCCAAAAGAAGAAACTGCTCGCCACATTGCACCACCATCACTACCATCACCACCATCGTGTGTATGTCGCGCATGCAACTTAACGCCATTGACCACAAAACAACACCGCCCAAACAACAACGACGACAGGTGCAGCAGCGACAGCGACTACGGCGGTACAGTACCAGTGTGCATGAGGATGCCATTGCGGACGTTGGGGATGAGGAACTTGGCGTTGCCCTTGAGGCCCATGACAGCGCGGTTAACTGGGTAGGGCCCGTAGAGACGGGGCACGGGCTCCGGGCTGTTGAGATCAAACTCCATCAGGCCCGTCGGGGTGTTGCCGTCGGAAGCGAAGCTGGTCAGGCCGTCATCGGAGTTGTTGAAGTCCGGCCAGGGCTTCTCGCAGTCGCATGCGTCCCAGCCGTGCAGACGCGCGGGGAATGTGAACAAGAGCGTGCCGTTGCCGGCGTACAGCTTTCCAATTGACTCGATGCTGCGGTTGCGATGCACGTCAATGACCACCTTGTACTTGTACCCTTGCGACTCAGCCGTTTTGCCGTCATCCACATAGTGGTCGCGCGTGAGCTTGTTCATGACAAACTTGGCGGTCCCAAGGTTCATCTCGCCAGTCACTTCGAGCTTGTTGTTGCGCTGCAGTGTGCGCGTGGCATCGACGGTGGCCGTGTCAAACTTGTTGTTGATGGGGAAGGTCAGGTTCAGTGCACGGAACACCAGAAACTGGTAGATGCCCACGTCGTTGCCACTGTCGCCCTTCTTGAGGGAGCGAGAGAACGGCGGCGGGTAGTCTGATGCAGCCACATGCACGCCCTGTGCGTGGTGCAGCAGCGCAGCCGTGTTCACGCGTGCAGACACGGGCGCAGCAGCTGCACTGCTGCCACACGCCACCGCCACAACAACAGCAACAGCGACGGCTGCTGCCACGATCGCAGCAGAGAAGCCTGATGCTCGCATCGTCATCGTCGCTGTCGTGGGAACAATCCAAGTTCGGAGAAATGGCGAATGATTTCAACTACTTTTCGGCGCAACCATGGCTGAGAGGACAACAACAACAAGGAACGCCGGTGGTGGTGGTGGAGAGGAAGATGCGCTGGCATACCTGCAGCGGCATTGTGTGCAGGAACGGCTGTCTGCGGCGCTGTTGGCAGCTGCAAGTGAGACCATCTCGTTCGGAACGCCGCCCATGACTGCCGTTGCAAACGCCCTCAACAGCAGTGAGTGTATGAACCTTGTATATGTCTGTAGCTTTGTGTGTGTGTGTTGTGATAGTGTGCGAGGTTTGTGAGAGAGCTTTGTGTGTATCCGTGTGTGCGCGGTGTGTGAGAGAGCTTTGTGTGTGTGTGTGTGTGTGTGTGTGTGTGTGTGTGTGTGTGTGTGTGTGTGTGTGTATGTGCATTTATTTCTCTGTGGTGTGTGTGAATGTGCGTGCTCTCCTGATCCTCCTGTCTGCCTGTGTCTGTGCATGTACCTGCGTATGTATGCATGACGGTCATCGCACGCTTGGCATTAGGTTGCTTCGTCTCACCCTTGTGCTGACAGACAAACCACAGGATCTGTTCACGTACCGCACCCTGGCCACGAACGCAAAGAGCAGAGTGAGGTTCTTGCAGCTCTTCAATGCCATGTGCAGAGACTTGCATCCAACCAACCCTGCACTAACTGGCACGGAGTATCTTCAGCTCCTTCGCCTCATCTGCCCTGTAAGCTACAAATTTGTTCCGAATATCATTGCCCAATGAGGTGGTGAACTGCGTTGCTGAATGCTTCATTGCTTGGGCACCTGACATGCCCTCAACTGCTCGCGCTTTCTGCATCCCCAGGACTTTCCTTCCTCTGTCATCGAGGACGTCTTGAACATCCTCCTCGTCGAATGTACGTGTGTCTAGCCGGTATGAGTGTGAGAGTGAGCACGACAATGAATAAGCGTATGTGCGTGTGTGTGAATGTGCGTGTGTGTGAATGTGCGTGTGTGTATCTCTCTCCCACCTGCTCTTCTCCGCCTGGGTGTGCACTCAGCATCAGTTGCTCAATTCATGTGCCATCACTCCCTCGCCCTGCAATGCATGCTCCGCGTGCCCAGGCTCCTGGGAGTGTTTCCTAGATGCCAGCGACTTTCCAAACGTGTTCAAAGTGTGTTTGTCTGTGTTTGTCTGTCTGGCTGGCTGTTTGTCTGTTGTGTGCGTGTGTTACGTGTCCCTATCTGTCTGCCTGTGTGTGTGCGTTCCTTCAAGCTGTCTGTAACTTCGAGCTCATGCATCAGCTACCCACACGTGTGCACTGCACCCGTACCTGTCTTACGCTCCCCCTTCCGTCACACGTTAGCTGGTGTTCCATTATGACGAGTACACGTCATGGCTCCAAACGACAATGGAGGTCAGGCAAGCGGCGCAATCACACACGTGTCTGCTTCCGCACAGCGCCACCGTTTGCATGCATTTTCCACACCAGCTCACGTCGTTTATGTTTGCGGGTGTCAGGCGTGGCGCACGTTGCGTGACCACAGTGGCACCGACCTCTCATTCGTACGTGTACGAGATTGTTGTCACACATGTGGTTGGAAGGAGATGGAGCAAGACACAATGTGGAGTTGCAATGTGGGGTTGAGTTGATTGTGAAGAGAGGGGCCTGTATTCACGCGTGCATGTGGAGATCCAAGCTTGACTGTGCCTGCTGTGCAAAGAGCGTTCCGTTCACAGGTCGCGCATGTACACCTGTCTTGCACCACCCACCCACCCCCTCCCCCAACGCAGATGGCGTACGCACTGCTCCGCTACATGCCTGCAAGCACGTCAACCCCTGTTGTATCACGGTCCGCCTTTCGTCGTGCGCTGGAACAATCATCCGGTGATGTAGACTCTTTCTCCGACGCCGCGCTACTGATCTGCAGACACGGCAGCGTCTAAACCATGCCGTGGAGCGATAATGTGTTTCTGTGTGTGTGTGTGTGTGTGTGTGTGCGTTTCTGTGTGCGTTTCTGTGTGCGTTCTCTCTTTCTATCTGTGTGTGTGTGTGTGTGTATGTGTGTGTGTGTGTGTGTGTGTGTGTGTGTGTGTGTGTGTGTGTGTGTGTAACAATTTTTTTTTTTTTGCTATATGGTAGTAGACATAAAAAACAGCTCATCCATCTCCTAAGATTGTATATCGGGGATTACTTTTTTTTGGTTAT